TTTATGTAATTACTTATATAAATTACTTAATAAAGATATGAGCAAGGCCTCACCTTAATATTTAAAAAAAAAAAAAAGAAATGTTAATAAGGACAATAATTAATAAGAAACATTAATAAGAACAATAATTAATAAGAAATGTTGATAAATAAGAACAGTAAGAAATAAGAACATAATGTTTAAAGTATATTGATACAAACTTATTAAGGATACAATCGGCTATATCAATACAAGACTTCACCAAACTATTTTACCATGGTAATGAAGATAAAGACATAGAGGATTTCCTTTTTGACTTCAAAATATATGCTGAATCAAAACAATGGGACGATGACAAGAAGAAGAAGGTCGTTGGGCTCTATGTTGCTGACAAAGCAAGAGTATGGGTATGTGAGTTGATAAAAAAAGCAAATACCTGGGCAGATCTAAAAACTGAAATAGAAAAGGCTGCAAAAATAAAATTCTATATAGAAGAGAAAATCGTAAGGCTAATGAGGATAAAGCAAGATAAAAACGAATCTGTGGTAGGGTATACAAACAGATTTGAATCACATGCTTATGTAATAAAAGATGAAATCTGTGATAGAGAAAAACAGAAATGGTTCTTGGCGGGACTAAAAAGTGAGTACTGATCAAAGGTAGAAGAACATTATCTAGCCGACTACCATAAAGCGGCAAGTCTGGCTGTGAAAATTGAAAGATATAATAAAGACAATGAGTTTGACTTGCTAACTGTGAATAACATGTTAATAAAAGAAAACAATAAGAGCACTAAAACGGATATTGATGATCTGACAAAAGCAATAGAAGCCTTAAAAATTTTTCGTGTTGAAAAGAAACCTGATAATGACGTTAAAGAAATAAAAAATGTGATCAAAGAAATGGCCAGAGCGATGAAAGACCTATTAAAAAAAGAAAATATTCAAAAGAGTGGTGATCGAAGTATGGGGCTTCAGTGTTATATATGTCAAAAAGATGATCACATATCACATAACTATCCAGATAAAGTGTTAAAAGAAAATTTCGTAAATAAATTCGAAGAATATCAGAGAAAAGAATGAAGTTCAAATAAAGAAAATGAAAAACAAAAAGACCCCGATGTTTATCTAGTGGAAATCACCGATGTTGAATCAAAAGAGAATAGTGAATATTTATTGGTCGAGTTGGTTGACAAAGAACAAGGTGTAGATTATGTTAGAAATCTAGATAAAAGGAAATATAATGAACCAATAGTTAATGAAAAGCTTAATAAAAGAGAAAAGTCCAGAAAAATATTAGAAGTAAAACCAGAAGAATCACTATCATTATCTACTCAAAAGGGTAATGATAAGAGTTCTGTTATGTACATACTATTAATGGAATTGACAAAAGATCTTGACGTTCTAAAGGCCATCACCGATTTAAAATTTAATATATTACTTGGGCAACTATTTAAATGGTTATCCAAAGCAAGAAATGAAATAATGAAAGCATTGGCATGAAAAAGGAAAGTGGAGGATGTTATAGATGTGGATGTTAGGCTAAGATTTGTAAAAGGAGAAAAAATACATGAGAATAAAAATGAAATAGTATCTATGTTGACCGCCTTGATTAACAGTGACCTAGTTAATGTGTCAATTGATCCTGGTTCCCGCTTAAACCTCATATATAAAAATTATGCAAAGAAGAGAAAACTTAGATGGAATTGGGTATATGGAAAAGGAAGAATAGCGGATGATAGAATTAGCTAATTTAAAGATTACATATCTCAGATAGCAGTTGAGATGGAAGAAGTAAAAATCAACCAAAGTTTTTACGTAATGGGGTCAGCAAGTTTTGATGTTTTGCTCATAATGCCGTGGTTAGCTGGTGTCCAGTATAGCCTATATTGAAAAGAAAACAAGTATTGGTGTATGATGTTATTGCCAGAAAGACAATCATCATTTATTGTTTCAGAAGTGCCCTGGAGTTGAATAGAAAAGGATAAAGATATCGACGACAGTAAAATAGATGAATATAATGATGATGACAAAGAAGTAAACCAAGTAACAGCAGTCCAAAGGTTTCAAATAGTAAAAGATAAAATACAAACCTTGAAAAAAGGTGAAGAAAAGTCAAAGAATTGAAGTGATCAAAACAAGTCATAAAAAGGGCAATTCTTAGAAAACAATGAACAAACTTCTCAAGAGGAAAAAGAATTAGAATCTAAGAACAATTGGGAGAGATCGTGTTGTCAAAACTTGAATAAAAGTAAAGATCAATTAAAGAATCAAAATGAACAAGTTGAATCATATGATCGAATATCACCAAAATATGATGATCAGTTAAAATTGTCTGATCCAGTGGTGCTACAAAAATTAACTTTAGAAAATATGTACTTGCTTAACTTCAGTCCAAGTCTAACACCAGAAGAAAAACAATACATAATAGATCAGTTAATGAAAGAGGTGTTAAAAACATTCGCTTTTGACATGTCTGAATTGGATCTACTAGTTTAATTAAATATAAAGTTAGGACAGGTGGTGTAGAAATACCACAGATGAGATTAAGGCCAATTAGGATTAACAATTCAGAGAAGACCCAATTATTCGAAGAATATTTGAAGGAGATGTTAAAGTATGAGTTGTTGGAGGAAGGAAATAAGCCATATGCATATCATTGTTTTCTGGTAGAAAAAAGGAAGATGGTACTGATCGAATACATGCAGTAGGCAATATGATACTATTAAACAAATATATAGTTAAGGACAGATACCCGCTACCAATCATATAAGATATACTCAAAAAAGCGGCAGTTCATGAATGGTATTCAAGTGTGGATGCATTCAAAGAATACTGGCAGATATGAATCTGAGAAGAAGATCATGATAAGGTGGCTATTTCAATAATGTTGGGAGTATTATGGTACACTGTTATGTGTATGAGGTTGAAAAACACTAGTGAAACCTTTCAGAGGTTAATAGATTTGGTTCTAAAAAGTGAAAAGTGAAAGAGGTTAGCTGCAGC